GAAAAATAACATTAATAATTCATTGATATTATAAAATGAATTATATTCAGGTACAAAATATTTTTCCAAAACGACTTCTAATAAAAATTGAGGTAGTAGTATTTAATAATAATTATTAATAAAAATAACAATGTATTCATATTTTTTATATGTAGCATTTTTTAAACTAAAAATTCTTATTTTTTATAAAATAATTTACTATGTTTTCTTATATATTTTATAATAATATTCTAATCTTAAAAGATATATAATTTTAAATTTTAATTAATATTATTTTTAAAATAATTTAAATAAGTTTTGCCTTAACCCTCTAAACGCGTTGGAACAGCCCTGCATAGGTATATTTGTTATTTATATTTGCGATCTTTTCTTCAATCATTATAATCTATTATTTGTGTAAACATGATCATGATTTTTTTTTATATAATTTCAATATACAATTATAAAATATTATTAATATTCATATAATTATATTATAGTCATTTTTAAATATATCCCCTATGTTGAGACTAGCCATGTGTATGGGTGTTAAAATTTTAAAAATTAATTATATCATGGATTATAATACTCTCTAATTTTTTTTTGGTAATATAATATAAGTAATGCTAACTTGTGTCCTAGAGGCACGGTTAAGAACTAAATGTAGAAATATTTTCTTGGAACTTGTGTATTGTTTTTATCAAAAGTTTATAATTAATTTTTTTACTACTTTTTCCAATACAAATTTTCTATTTATAGATTTATTAACATATGCCCTTAAGACACAAGTTAGCATTATCCATATAATATTCTCTCATTTAAGATATTAATCGCATTAATTACATGCAAAAGAAAAGAAAATATACTCTTTTCAAATAAGTTATAAAAATATAAATAATATTATTATATTTTTTGATAATTTATATAACTTTTTAAATTCATGTTTTGAAAAATAAAATTAGTTAATATTCGTTTAACTGTATTTATCACACACTGCAATAAATAATATACATATTTATACATAAGTTGGTAAATAAATCATTATTATATTTTGAAATATAAAAATAGATCTTATATAAAAAGATTGAAAATGAATAAAGAGATTCATATATTTAAAGACTAAAATAGTAATAATATTTTGGCTTTCCTTTTCTTTTTTTATAATTATTTTTTATTGAAAAACTAACATCTCTATAAAAAAACATTCAATGGACAACTTGTTTATTTAATGTAAAGTGGAAAATAAAAATTTTATAAATAAAATTAAAGTTGTTTGGTAATACATATTTTTTTTCTTTCAATTTTAACAATAATTTTAAACTAAAATCCATTTAATATATATTTAAAAATATTTTATTTAATATATGAATAAACTAATATAGAAAAAAAATATAATAAAATATGATTTTCTTTCGGATTTTGTACAACAGTTTGATGTATAATATTTGCGAGTAAAACTACTGATTTTGATTCATACTTATGTATATAATAAAGTATTTTAGATATATATTGTGAGTAAATCTATTGATTTTGATTCATATATATATATATATATATATATATATATATATATATATATATATATATATATATATATATATATATATATATATATATATATATATATATATATATATATATATATATATATATATGCGTAAAGATTTTACACAAATATAGATATAAATTAAATAAAAATATGACTATATTACTAATTGATAAGGAATATGTTATAAAAAATCAAATGAATGTATTTTTATAAATATTTAAAAATATGTGTGAGTGAATATATTCCTAATTAAAAAAATTAATTGACATCATAAAAAAATTTATACTTTTAAAATAAATAATTTTTACAAATTAAACTAACAAATTTTAGGCTTAATTGCAACTTTGGTCCCTCTAGTTTGTATTTTTTTGGGTTTTGATCCCCCTATTTTAAGATTTGAGTTTGATATTAGTCCCCTTGCCATTTTAAGTCATATTTTTAATGATGTGGCGCGTTGAATGAAGATGTGACATTTCCATGTCATTTTAAAATGGTCTTTTCACCAAATATCATTTCCATGTCATTTATTTTTTTGATTTCATTTTTCAGGAAATTAAATCCAATCTTATAAAACCCCTAACGCACGAAGACGAACCCATTTCTTCAAACCCAGTTCAGGAATGAAGATTCTTACTCTTTCCCTTTCACGCACGAAGACGAACCGTAATTAAAGATTCTGCAGTTGTCGTTCCAAATCAAACCACAAATCAACTCTCGTTGTCGCTGCAGTAGCTAGCTCGTCTCTGAAATGGCAAATCGAAGTTATGTGTCGATGTATGTTTCATAACTCAACTCTGAATTCAAAAACCCTAAACACGCAAATGTTGTTTGTGTTCTGTCATATCATATGATTTGTTTATACCATGTAGTCTTAATTTGATGTGGTCCCATTTTTAACTATGTTTTAATTTGTTTATGTTCTGTTGTAGACCCTCTGATACCCAAGCTGTTAGATTTAGAATACACCATAGGGGACATTTAGTTCATAATCCAGTTATGTTGTATGTTGATGGGCTTGTAATTTAAATGAATTGGGATTGAGATGTGGACTTGGTGTCCTATATGAAAATTGAAGATTTGATCAAAAGTGAGGGGTATTGTAATATAAAGTGTTCATGGTATTGGAATCCTAAATTTTCCTTTTCTCGTGGACTTCGGCCTCTGAATAATGATAATGATGTCTTAAGGTTAATGGAGGATGTTAGAGGATTTAAGGTAGTTGATATTTATGTTGAACACAAAATTGAAGAAATAAGTATTGAGGATGTTATTTTTTAGGAGGATAATGGTGAAAAAGTCAATGGCGAAGGAGCAAACTATGAAGTTAATGTTGAGGGAGCAAATAGTGAAGTTAATGTTGAGGGAGAAAATGATGAAGTTACTATTGAGGGAGCAGATGAAAAGTTTAATGGTGATGGAGTACATGAAAATGTTAGTGTTGATGGAGTAGATGAATAGGTTAATGTTGGTGGAATAGATGAAAATGTTAGCGTTAATATTGATGAAGTAGATGAAGAGAGTGAAACAGATCCAGATTACAGCATGGGCAGTGAGGATGACGAGAAAGAGGATGAAGATTTGGAAGATGAAATTGATGAGATGAATTTAGGTGCTGACGTTGGTATTAATTGGAAGACTGTTTTACCTAATGCTACAGCAGAAAAACCTTCAAAGTTGGATGGTAATTCCGATAATGATAGTGATTCAGATGTGCTTCAAACTCCACCCGGTAGTGATGCTGAAGATGATATGGCAAAGTTTCTAATCTTTAGGGAAACCACAAAACTTGAAGTAGGAATGATGTTCAGGGATAAAATATAAATCAAAGATGCCATAAAGGAGTATGCAATGGAGAACAAGAAGAAACTTGTATTCAAGAAAAATGACAAGAAGATAATGGTTGCCAAGTGTTTAAATGGTTGTCCATTTTATATTAGGTTTAGCATGAGGACTACCAACCAATATTGACAACTTGTTAGCTTAACTGGTCGTCATGGTTGTCATAGGACAGCCAAAAATAGACAAGAAAAAATGGATTGGTTGGGTCGCCAATTTGTGTACACGATAAGACACACTCTTAAAATAAAAACCAAAGGGCTATTTGCAGAAGCTATTAAGAAGTGAGGGGTGAAGTTGTCAAAGGGTCAATCTTATAGAACCAAGAAAAAGGCAATGGAATTGATTCAAGGTGTTGGTCGTGAACAATTCACACACCTTAAAAGTTATGGTGAGGAGTTGTTAAAGTCAGATCCAAACTCCACTGTTAAAATTAAGTGTGATGATTCAGATGGTGGTCCTGTATTTGAAAGAATATATGTATGCTTAGAAACTTGTAAGGCAGCGTTTGCAATGACTTGTAGACCCCTATGATGTACTATAAATCTGACAGCCTGGGTATCAGAGGGCCTACAACAAAACATAAACAAATCAAAACATAGATAAAAACGGGACCACATCAAATTAAGACTACATGGTATAAACAAATCATATGTTATGACAGAACACAAACGACATTTGCGTGTTTAGGGTTTTTGAATTCAAAGTTGAGTTACGAAACATACCTCGACACGTAACTTCTGTTTGTCATTTCAGAGACGAGCTAGCTACTACAGGGACAACGAGAGTTGATTTGGAACGACAACTGCATAATCTTTAATTACGATTCGTCTTCGTGCGTGAAAGGGAAAGAGTAAGAATCTTCATTCCTGAACTGGGTTTGAAGAAATGGCTAAAGAAATGGGTTCGTCTTCGTGCGTTAGGGGTTTTATAAGATTGAGCTTAATTTCCTGAAAAATGAAATCAAAAAAACAAATGGCATGTAAATGATATTTGATGAATAAGACCATTTTAAAATGACATGGAAATGCCACATCTTCATTCAACGCGCCACATCGTTAAAAACATGACTTAAAATGGTAAGGGGATTAATATCAAACTCAAAACTTAAAATGGAGACCTAAATGGTAGTTTTTAAAATAGGGGATCAAAATCAAAAAAATACAAAATAGAGGGATTCTTTTACATTGTTAGTATATTTCAATTAAATCTTTAAAATTAAAATATGGTATTGACTTCTATTTGATTAACAATATAAATACATATTCTTTTTCCTCTAAAATAAATAACATAAACATAATATACCCTATCTTTATGAACTTAATTAAAATCTATTAACAATGTAAGAAAACTTATACTATTAATTAATTATAATTGTTGAATGTTAAAAATAGTTTGATTTTTATTTTAATATTAATATAGATTATAGTGATGAATTGATTTGTAAAATTTTATACATCAATATAATTATACATTCTATCTTTATTTTGTATTTTTAATAGCATCCCTCTAACACTGCCCAAAAATTTCCATTTCGAATTCCATCAAATAAATCTCGGCGCTATTCGGTTATTCTAGAAAATTCTTTCGCATTCAATCAAGCTTTCGCTCTCGCTTTCTCTTTCTCTCTGCAGTCATGGAGTTTTGGGGTAACAACACCGTCTCTTCCTCATTTCTCTCCTCTTCTTCTTATTCGCCTTGTTATATCTCTAATCTTTTCGTTATTTCACTCCTTTCTACTGTAAATTTTGTTAGTATAGTACTTTTTGATTTTCTTTTTCTTGAAAAATGAATCGCGGAGGCTAGCATTTCTTCGATTTCTAATGGATCTGTTGTAATCGCGCTTTTACGATGCATGTTGAACAATCGTATTTCTTGATGCTTAATTTTTTGTTTGTTTTTTTGTATTTTACTGTGTGATTAATGATTAATGCGGTTAGGTTTTGCAAATTTTTGGTTTTTTGGAAAAAATGGCGGAAATGCGCTCATATTTTGTGTTGTTTTGATTACCTAATGCCAAACCCTAATAATTTTCATCAAACCACCATTGATATCGATTTCCTCTTTGCGGTAATATAGTGTTTTACTGGAAAAACAGTTTTGCATTTTAAGCGTGTAAAATAACTTCACCAAACCCTAAATGTTTTACTGATCATTGGTGTTGTTATGAAGTTTCTAAAATAACTTCACCACAGTACCTTGTTTTTAAGCGTGTAAAACTGTTTGAATGTGTCTCCCTGTGTAATAATTATATAGTAAATAGTTGATAAGTGAAACACAAATTTATGTTCTGAAATGATTTGTGAAACGGAAAATAGTTGATCACAAATTTCACAATTGCCTTTTTAGTTTGTTAATTCAGATCCTGAAATCATTTCAAATAGACTGGTTGAGTCATGGAATTAGATTCCAATTGATTCCGATTTGTCTGACCTTCACTCTAATAGTACACTTACTTAAGAGCAGTATTTGTTGAATAATGACTGAAATCAGAATGCTAATTATGTTGGAGAACTCAATTTAGAAGTAACCAACCGGTCTTTAAAATCAGTTAGATCACTTACTCTAAATACCAAAACCCCTACTAAAATGGAAATTCTGTTTCTCTCTGTTTTCAACCTCATTAGTTTCTATTACACTGGACCCCAAACAAAACGAGTTTTAAATCAACATGTTGTTATTTTGTTAAATAATAGTGTGGTTTTTAAAATTGGCTGAGCAGTATCAAATTATTACAGTTGCAAAAGTAATATTGTGTTTCCTTGTTTGGGTTTTTCATTCTGGTGAAAAAGTAACATTAGATATTTATTCACAATCCTTTAGGTGTTGAGGTAAAAAGTGGGAAATCACTCAAGGTTGATCCAGAGGAAAACAAGATTATCCATCTTTCATCGGTATATGCTTATATCATGATAAATAAACATTCTCTTTACTTTTAATTGGTTTAGTTTTTGAATAAATGGCCTCAAATCTTTACATAACAGGCATGTCTGGGGGAGGTCAGCAAGGATAAAGGGAATGAACCAGTATCCCTATATGTGAAGTTTGGTGATAAGAAGGTTCAACTTGGAACACTATCTTCAGAAAAATTTCCTCAGACATCTTATGATTTGGTATTTGAGAAGGCATTTAAGCTATCCCATAACTGGAAATATGGAAGTGTCTTCTTTACTGGATATAAATTTGAATCTGAGAGCGTGTCATATCCTTTTCATACTATCTTATGTTGTCATGAGATCTAATTTTCTCTTTACTGACAATATTGTATTCTGATGATATCTAACATTTTTGCATATCCTTAACTTTATTCTTCTTTTATCTTTACTGATGATGAGGATGAAGATTCTGATGGTGAGATACTCTACTTAATTCTCTATTATTATTATTATTATTATTATTATTATTATTGTTGTTGTTGTTGTTGTTGTTATATTATTATTATTATTATTATTATTATTATTATTATTATTATTATTATTATTATTATTATTATTACTATTATTATTATTATTATTATTATTATTATTACTATTATTACTATTATTATTATTATTATTATTATTATTATTATTTTTATTATTTGCTTCTCAACACTTTGTATCTTTTTTCTTTTAGATTTTGACGAGGAAGATATTCCTATTAATGCTGTTGCCAATGGTAGATATTTCATTATCCATCTTATGCATATGTATTGGCATATAAAAGTTTCTCTCGAGTTATATTCTTCTAAACATTTCTATAGGGAAACCTGAGACTGAGGTGAAGAGTGATGCCAAACCCCGTGTTAATGGAGTTGAACAAAAGAAAACATCGGATCCAATAAAGAATGAGAAGGATCGTGAAAAGGATGTTAGTAGTGATCAAGATGAAGAAGGATCATCTGAATCTGACACTGATGAGGATTCTGGTGAAGAGAAGGTATCCGTATAATCTAGAAAGTGTAGTGTAATCTCTAATTGATATTGAATAAATGTGTGTTAAATCTGATCACATATATGATGTTATTAAAGAAATAGTAATTGGCTAGAAAAGGGCAGAATACTTAATGTAAATGTTTGTGCCAAAATGTATGTCATTACTACTGCTAGATATATGGTAGCAACTTGGTGCTAAAGCATTCGTGTGATGATTCATGTTATAATCACTTATAAAAATTGTGATTATTCATGTGATAATCACTTATAAAAATAACAAGTTTTGACTTTAGAATGCATCTATTATTGATCAATTTTATTAGTTATCTAAATTCTCCTCAGAATCTGTTATTAATTGTTATCTAAGTTCTCCTCAGAATCTGTTATCAACTATGTGGTCCAAGTTTAATTTTGAAATATAGTTGTTAATTGAATGATAGATTTAGAGGTATTGTATCTTACTAACATTATTTTTTATTATGCTGTGAGCTTGGTCTTTTATTATAGAAGTTTTAATCGAAGGAGATTTTAGAGAATTCATATTCTTGTTAGTTCCATTAATTTTTCGGTAACATGTTGTTTAGCCTGCCATCAATGGACATATTGGAATTAGTGAAGAGGACGATGATAGCGATGAGGACGATGATAGTGATGAGGACGATGATTCTGATGATGAGGAGACACTGGTGAAGGTAAAGAGGGACTATATAGTGCTTAATTTTTGTCTTCGAATTTGAATTTGATTTGAATTTTTTTAGGCTGAAGGGAGCAGTAAGAGAGTTCGTGAATCTTCAAAGAAAACTCCTGTAGCTGTGAAGAAGGCAAAGTTTGTTACTCCTGAGAAGACTAGTTAGTTTTTTTTTTCCTTGTACTTGTTACGGGTTATTTAATTTAATTTTAAATTTGTCTAATGATTTCAAACGCTTCTCCTATGCCTTGTTTGACACTGATTTTGCATACTCTAGATTGGTGTCCAATGTTTTTGAAATTGTCGGTGTCGGAGTCCGGCTTTCATAGTTTTTCATTACTTTTGCATAAAATTGCCTTGTTGTGGGTAGTTCATAGCAGCAGCATCTTTCACTACTTTTACATAAAATTGCCTTGCCGTGGGAAAGTTGTTCCGTGGGATATACGACATATGTTCCTGTAGGTTCTTTAATTTCCATGTGTCTTTCCCCAAAATGTTCTCTCATGACTTTGCATATTCATGGAGCCAACTATTTACCTAATGTTACTTAGGTTGGGCTTAAATAAGGATAAACTACCACTACATGTCTACATTTTTTTTTCTGACTCAGTTATTTTTCTTTCTCAACCGTGTTTTTGTCGAATCACAATAAAATGTAATAAAAACTGAAAGACCCAAGTACAACTAGAAAACAAAAGTTAGATTGCCAGTTTTAACCTTGTTTGGCTCATTAGTTTGTCATGCATGCATGTTATTTAACAAAGTAGAACTGAAAGGAAATGATAGAAATTCTGACATGTTCAGGTGGCCCTAGTGGTAGTGTCCATGTTGATACTCCTTACCCTAAGCAGGCTCTAAAATCGGCTGCAAATAACAAGCAGCAGACTCCAAAGTCAAATGGGGATTACAGCTGCAAACCTTGTAACAGGTGATTGGAATTGTATATTTTCATTTATTAGCCCCTTCATCTCCTATTCTGTTCAAGTCAGTTTACAAAAATAAGTAATTTGACTTGCAGGTCATTTAAGACTGAAGATGCCCTGGGTTCTCATAATAAGGCCAAGCACAGTGCCAAGTGAGCATCTTGATGCTTTTGGATCTAGGGTGACCTCGAAATACACACTTGTTGATTTAGGAAAGCCGGCCGATGTTCTTTATGTTAAGACAATTATTCAATCTTGATTATCAACTCGAGATAGAATACTGACTATGATTTTATGGTCACAGTTTACATATTCAGTTACTGCTTATTTGGTTCCAATGTGGTTGGGAGTTTGAGACGAATTACAATGGATTTGTTTGATCTTTACTTGATTTTTAGGAATATCATAATACCTTTCCAATTAAATTGGGTCTAAATAAAGTTAATGAATGAGTAAGTTCTTTTTTCTTGACCTGGGAGTATGGGGCTTCAGAGCTCTGAGATTAGTTGACTTTAGAGTAGTTTTTAATCTTTAGTTACTATGATTTTGTTAGGAAGTTGTTATTCTAGATGATGTTTTAGATGTATTTGTGCAGTATTAAAAGTCGGGGTAGATTGGCAAAAGTTGTGGGACATTCTGGATATCAATTTGGTTTAGAAGTGTTAATGACTTCTGGATATCAATTCTAGATATTTTCTGGTTTCATTGCAACTTGCCAAGTCAGAACCACTAAAGGCTTTGAGCTACATTTTTGAAGTTGGGAAGAACAAAGGTGCGTTGTCTTCCACAATTGCCTTGTTCTTCCAATGACTTCCAATAGTCATTTTCAGCTTTCAAGTATTCTATTTATTGTTGACTATGAAGGAAAAGTTAGAAGCAAGAGAAAGAGGGTGGTGGTGATGATGATGATTGATTATCAAAATGATTACAAACATCTTTGTGACTAATATAAATTGCCAATCAAAGAGACCTCTCTCAGAAACAAGCATAATATTGTTTCATGACACTACATCAGTACTCAAGTTGGTTAATTTTAGAGAAAAATTGACTTGTTTGATATCAACATAGTTGAGTTATCACTAGTGTATTATGGAAGAAAATGCACTTTTTTTTTGAAGTTGCATTTTGATTCCCTAAGATAAGTTGTCACTAGTTTATTATTGTGGAAGAGAGAATGTACCCTTATTTTAGAAGCAGCATTTTGATTCCCTAAGAGGAAGATTGTTTTATGTAATGTATAACTATATGCAGCTTGCATATGTCTTCATTAGTTGCAAATTTCGGATTTGTAATATAGGAGAGTGGTAACAGGCTTTTTAGATAGGTAACTTGTATCTTGTAATAAATCTAAACCATACTTGCTTTGGCAGGTCAAAGTTTCTGGTAAGGTGAATAGGTGGAGGAGGAGGTGGTGGAATTATAGAGTTAGATGTGGTTGAAAAATGTGTATTGGGAGATGAAATATGTATGTTGGGAGTAAAGTGTGAAATATGGTCATGTGACTTTATATTGGTAGTGCTAGGGATTAGATTTCGAAATGGTTGTGAAGGAGAATGATCTGTGAGAAGAAGTATTAGGTTGTTTGAGATATCTGAAAAGGGAGCACCATATTCAAGGATTCTAGTTTGAGTAGGTTGCTTAGGATTGGGATTGGTAATGTAGGGAATGAACCTTTATAAAAAATAACATTCATGGGTATAAATAGTTCTATTGTGGTTAATGAAAATACACTTCTTAGCCCTGGGGTCAAGCTGTCACGACCTTGTTGAAGTGCAGAGGAAAAATATAAACAACCAAAGACTTTAAGATGATCATAGTTAGGTATTGTTCCATGTATTACTCAAAAGGTGTCTTGTTGAGTAAAACAGCTTATGGAAATATATTTATCAGGAAAACGACATAGTTGATAGCATAGAACCAAAAAATCTTAGGTAGGCTGCAATGAAACATGATGGCCTGAGTTACATTCGAGATATATATATGCTACCTTTCAGCTATAACATTTTGTTAAGGTGTCTCTACACGAGAAAAATTCATTGAGAAGCATAGAAATTTGGCATGGTGAATTCCTTACTAGTTCGATCTTATATGATGCATTGTTTTACTGGTGTTTTCGAGCGAATGGATGAAATCGATGATTAAGTGTCTTGTTTGTGATTTGATTTTCATTAAGAAGGCCTAAATGTGTCTTGTAAAGATCTTTAAGAAATAATAAAGACCATGAATATATAGAGTTGCAAATGGACTCCAAAAAATTTTCACCTATATTTTGTCTTTAATATTAAAATTGTCGTTAATTTAGTTGCTAACTAATAAATTGATGCAAAAGCTATTGTTAATTATGTGTTAAGTTATAAAAATCATTCTAAGTTGTAAGAAGGACCAAAAGTGTGAATAAAAAATTTTAGGAGAATCAATCTTTGAAAAAAAATATTTTGAACTAGAGATATTTAAGAGGATCATGAATATATTTAACTAGGGGTGGTAAACGGGCATGCCCGTCTCGTTTAGGTCCGTCTTACAAAACCTCGTAGAAAAATGGGACGGAGCGGGACGATCATAGTTGAAGATGCAGGCGTAAAATCTAGGTCAGGCTCGCAAAAATGTGAAATTATATAAATGCTCATGCTCGCAAAGTCCGCGAAGAAAATGGGATGGGGCTAAACACATTACAGGGTGAGGGTCTAAATCCTTGGTCTGTCCCGCACGGAAAAACGGACATGCTCAACAGGTCGGGTCCGTTTGGTCACCCCTATATTTAATTCTAATTAAATATGATAGTTATTTGAAATATACTGCAATTAGGGGTAGCAAACGGGCATGCTCGCCCCCATTTAGTTCCGTCCCACAAAAACTCGCATAGAGACGGGGCATAACAAAGCGATCATGGTTGAGGATGATGGCTTAAAACCCAAGTAATTTCCGCAAAAAAGTGAGGACGAAGTGGAGAAATCCCATTGACATTGCACCTTTTAAACCTAAAAACACAAAAGTTTATGTAAATACTTGTGCCCATAAAAAGTCCGCGAAAAAACGGGGCAGAGTGGGATGGACACAATAAAAGGTGAGAGCCTAAACGTTTGACCCATCTCACATTAAAATGCGGACATAATAGACATGTTCAACATGTTGGATCCATTTTGCGACTCTAAATGCAATACATTTATTGAGGATCTCCAACTCAATGTGTCATAAAGAAAAGCCAGAGGCTAAAGTGATATTATATCAATGGAAATTTACATTTTGTTAAAAACAAAAAATATTTGTCTTGGTCTAAAATATACAGATTATTAACCATTTTAGTAATGTTTAATAATCTTCTGTTGTTCTTGAATAACACGTGAGGCATGATCAAATATTAATTTGCAAACATGAGTAAACAATAATTTATATGATGAGATAAGGTTCCATTATGAATAGTATTTATATGATGAGATAAGGTTCCATTATGAATAGTTGGGTCTTGACTGATTTAAAAGTCATTAAAACCCTTCAAAAAAAATATCACATACTCAATTTTTCATTGTTTCTTGATAGTCAAGTTTGATGCACATGTACAATTTATCAAGTCGCGTAAAATTTCAAAGATCTTTCCATGAAGTTTTCTGATAATTGAAATCAGTGTTGATTGATTTTTGTTACCTTATCTCGTTGAATGAGTTTTTTTCGTAGAAGATTAGATAAGCGAAAGTGATCCTCCTTAAAAAATTGGTTGTGTAATTCATTCTACACTATGTAAGCATTATCGAAGTAGATTTTTCTTTGAGTAGTGGCTAGAGATGGTGATGAAGCAAATCTAAGATAGGAAAATGATGTTACATATTTTGTGCATGGGGATTGATCTTGTCGTTGATGAATTTCAATATTTTTTTGCTTAGGAAATATTGTTCCATGGCACGACATCATGTATCATAATCGTTTTCATCTAGAAGTGTAACAATAACTGCATTTTATTTTTTTGCAGGATGTAGAAAATAGAGATCGTTTCCCATGATCTTTGGAAGGTTCTTGATGGATAGTGTTGTGATTTTGATTCTTGTGGTTGTTTTTATTGACTGATTTGGAATCATCATCATCATCATCATGTGGGAGATCAATTATTGTTGAAGTTCAGTGTGAAAGGAAAAGAAAAGCGAGGGTAAAAGGTAATTCAATAAAGGAATGAAAAGAATTACAATATTGTTGATACCATAATATGATATAAAAATTGTGAATGGATAACATTTTAAGCTTAACTCTTTCATTGATTATAGATGAATATTGTTCCATTTTGGAATCATAAACGAGAAGAGCGACGGTGTTGATGGCCAATTGTGACTTCTGATGCGATGGAGAGAGATCTATAAAATTAACACTCCAACGCTTAAGTTAGTGTATGAGAAAGAAGAGTGAAATGAAATTGCATTTTAAAATTGCTACTTCAATTTGGCACCTTTTATATATATATATATAGAGAGGGAAAAAATGAACTTGTTATTTATTAGTCGTGAAGTCTGGAAAACTGTTGGATGCACTTGCAGTTGAGGTCTTTAGTGATCATTAGGATGATAATCTTAGTGCATTGAGAAATTTTTAAAAGGATTGGGATTCCTTATTGATGGTCGGCCGGGGTTGATATGGTCACGTCAAAATAGTTGTCCCCCAATCCCCTATCGATGTACAAATAGACAGGGGCTTGATACTTTAGCATTGGATGTCGGCCTCTATTTAATCACCTCAAGATAGCTGGAGGATAAATGTTTTAGTTTCTTATAGGGAATCATGCATTTAATGCACCATACTTCAAACGTCTTTCCGGGGGTGTCATCATTACAGTTCTTGGGAATCAAAACTCTTGAGTGTTGTGCGTGAATGATTAGACGTGTTTGGGACAGTTTTTTTGCATGCTAGTTTATAATCTCTTTTAGAAGAATCAGTAACATTTTCTTATGAGTCATTGTTTTTAAGTCTAGATGTTACCTTCTTCTTTATTGTTTCAAATTCTTGCAACTATAAAGTTGGTATAAAATGAGCAAAAAATCAGAGAAAAGTATTCACAAGCCATAGAAGCATACTTCATCTTCTTGGGTGGATTATGTCTACTCTTCTATCATGTATTCTTTTGCTATGACAGGTGGTCTTAACGACACTTTTATGAAAGTTTGTCCACCTTTCGA